GGAACAGGAGTCAGTGATGGTTTTGCTCTTCCTATGTGGGAGGTCACAGGGTGCTATTTGTAGGAAGGACATTACTTCATTTTTCCAATATAGGTAGACCTCATTTCATTACACTTCACAGATAGTGGATTTTTTTTTTTAATAAATTGAAGGTTTGTGACAACCCTGCACTGAGCAAGTCTATCAGCACCATTTTCCCAATAGCATTTGCTCACTTGGTGTCTCTGTGTCACATTTAGGTAATTCTCACAATATTATGAACTTTTTCATTATTATATTTGTTATAGTGACCTGTGATCAGTGATATTTGATGTTACTATCGTAATTTAGGGGGTGCCAAGAACTCTACCCATATAAGGTGGTGAACTTAATCCATAAATGTTGTGTGTGTTCTGACTGCTCTCTCCTCCTCTCCTCAGACTCAGCAATATTGAAATTAAGCCGGATAACAGCCCTGCAATAGCCTCTAAGTGTTCAAGTAAAAGGAAGAGTCGCACATCTTGATTTTAAATCAAAAGCTAGAAATGATTCGGCTCAGTGAGACAAGCATATCAACAGCCCAGACTGGCCAAAAGCTTCCCTGGTAGCTCAGATAGTAAAGAGTTGGCCTGCAATGCAGGAGACCTGGGTTCAATCCCTGGGTCGGGAAGTTCCCCTGGAGAAGGAAATGGCAATCCACTCCAGTATTCTTACCTGGAAAATCCCATGGAAGGAGGAACCTGATGGGCTTGGCGGGTTACAGTCCATGGGGTTACAAAGAGTCACACATGACTCAGCGACTAACACTTTCACTTTCATGGTGCCAAACAGTTTAACCAGGTTGTGCATGAATACAAATGGAAAGTTCTTGAAGGAAATGAAAGGGGCTGCACCAGTGAACACACCAATGATAAGAAAGCGAAACAGCCTTATTTCTGGTATGGAGAAAGTCTGACTGGTCTGGATAGAAAGTCAAACCAGCCACCACGTTCCCATAAGCCAAAGCCTGATCTAGAGAAAGGCCCCAACTCTTTTCAATTCTGGGAAGGCTGAGAGGGGCAAGGAGGCTGCACAAGAAAAGTCTGGAGTTAGCAGAGGTTGGTTCATGAGGTTTAAGGAAAGAAGCCGTCTCCATAATATAAAAGTGCAAGAAGAAACAGCAAGAGCTGATGTAGAAACTGAAGCACATTATCTAGAAGATCCAGCGGAGACTTTCATGGAGGTGGCCACACTAAACACAACCCTAGATAAACTCTGTTCTCAGTCACAGCCTCCTGCATTATTTTTTCAGATGACAAGCATCCCTTCCTCTGGGACACAGTGTGAGGGTCCACTGGGCTGATTTGAGTGCTGCCCAGCCCCCAACTTACCGCTCTCTCAGCAATTATTAAACGCTATGTGAACTGTTGAAAGTGANGGATGAGATGGCTGGATGGCATCATCGACTCAATGGACATGAGTTTGAGTGAACTCCAGGAGTTGGCGATGGACAGGGAGGCCTGGTGTGCTGTAGTCCATGGAATTGCAAAGAGTCAGACATGACTGAGCAACTGAACTGAACTGAACTGTTGGCTTATGCACTCCAGGGTAAGCTGTTTGAGTCATTTTGTTTTAACCCCAGTGTATGGCCAACAGAATTCTTACTATTTGTTGACTGAAGCCTGGATTTCACAAGGATGCTTTGCTCCTTCCTTCTGTGAAGCGTGTGCAGGAAGGGAGCCAGGGATTCGACAACAGCATGGGCTTCCTGAGCAGGGGTGCAACCAGTCTTCTGGAGCTCACCCCTCTCTCTGGGTATCTCCCATTTCTGGGGGGATGGGGGCTCCTACTGCAGGATGAGCGCATTTTGACAAGCACTTCTGAGTGCTTAACGTTGAACAAATTCTGCCCTGGTAAATGTCACAGACAGACCTGGTGGAGCAGGTGGAGGTGATAGAGGACATCCTGGGAGATATTCCCTGGAGGCAGCTGTCATGAGGCTCTACCACATCATTCGAGACAATCCATGAATGCAGAATATACGGTAAACATAAAAATATCAACTCTATTCCTACATACTAGCAAAAACAATTGGAAATTGAGACTAAAAACACCACCATTTAAAATAGCATTAGAAATATGAAATGCTTAGAGGTAAATCTGTCCAAAGATGGTTACGTAAGACCTGTGCCATATGGAACACTGCCAAGAACAGTAAGAGATGACTGAATAAACAGGTTTACCATGTTCATGGATTGGAAATCTAAATGGTGCTAGAGACTGCAGATACTTTTAAGTGTTGACTCCCTTTTACCCAGCTTTATCTTACTCTCTCCTACTGTCTTTGTCTCTTTAATGTGTCACTCTGTGTTTGGCATCAAGCAGGTGTTCAGTGAATAAATGAACAAGGAATAAGGGAGTAAATGAGAGGGTCCCAAGAGGGGTCACAACTGCCTGGGAAAGCTAGAAAAGCCCCCTGCAAGGTGAGCTAGGAGTTCTATAAACTGAGATGAGGGGGGACACTAGACACAGAAGTCCTCTTAGGAGCAGTTCAAACTGCATTCATCTGCTGTAGCTTGGGGATCAGTGGCTAAGACAGTGGCTGCAGACACCTTGGGAACACACCCTGAGCTCCTGTTCTGAAGGACCTCCTACCCTGTGCTAAGGAATTTCTCTATCATTGTTCAAACTCCGAGATGCGAAAGGGCACAGAGTATATTTAGTAGGGGAGTTCATTCACTCAACATTTTGAAATACTCATTCAACACTTGCACTGGACAAAAGCTTGGACTTAATTCTGGGATAAAACTGGTGAAGACAGAAACCATCCCTGCTCAGTTATAAAACTGTTGTAGCTAATGATAGGAACCATCATTGTGCCAAGCAAAGTTGAATTCTCCACCTGTGCTCTTTACAACAGTCCAATAAGACAGTTATTATTACTAACGTCAGTAAACATGGACAGCTAAAACACACATTTAACATGCACAGTGTGATGGATTTTACACAAGTGGATGTAACTTTTGACATCACCCACCAATAAGACATGTAACATTTCCATCATATCCAAAGTTTCCCTTATCCATTCTCAATCACTGATGTGATTTTGTCACTGGATGGGACCTCTTTGAGGGCCTGACAGTGGGCCCTTGTCTAAGACTCAAATGAATTATCCAAGGAGCTACGGTACTGACAAAGCAAAAGACCCTATTGAAAAGTGGTGCTGAAGTGGAGAACAACAGGGTAAGGGAGACCAGGAGAACAGCTCTGACTTGTGGTTCGCAGTCTCAAGTTTTATGGTGGGTGGGGTTAGGTGAGTTGGGATTGTCTCTGGCCAGTCATCTTGCTCATGCTTTCATTCAGTTCAATACAGGGCCCTTCCTGGTGGCATGTGCATCCCTCAATCAAAATCATTTTCAGCATGAGAGAGTCTGGGAGGTTGGCAAGAGATTTTATGGACTGGTCTCTTCTCCCCTTCTTTGGAGGAAATGGCAAACCACTCCAGTATTCTCGCCTGGAGAATCCCATGGACAGAGGAGCCTGGCAGGCTACAGTCTAAGGGGTCACAAAGAGTTGGATGCAACTGAAGTGACTAACACACACTTCTCCCCTTCTTGGCCCTTCCTGGGTTTTCCCCAGGTTGGTTTTGGGCCCTTCTTTGGCTTTATGTTCTTTGAAGCATCCTGACGTAGGAGACTTAAGGTGTTGTTATGGTGCCCAGTCAGGGCAGGCAGTGTTGGTTAACTGTTCCCTAACAACTTCTCACATTATTGGTAAGATTTGTCTTTGCCGGTGTTCCTTGTAAACAAAATAAAACAGTCTGTTCTGCCATATCTTGCTTCTTTGACTTACAGTGAATTTTGAGTTTTGTTCACATCATGGTGTCTTTCATTTTGTTATTGTTGTTTATGTATTTATTTGTTTTTTGGCTGCACTACGTCATTGCTTTGCAAGAATTTTCTGTAGTTGCAGTGAGCAGGGGCTACTCTTCCATTGCAGTGCTAGGGCTTCTCATTGCATGGCTTGTCTTGCTGTGGAGTACAGGCTCTAGATGCCAACCGGGTTTCAGTAGTTGTGGCACACCAGCTTAGTTGCTCCCCAGCACGTGGGGTCTTTCTCGACCAGTGATAGTGAAAGAGGAGAGGAAGAGGCCATGCTGACTCCATCTTGAAAAAGAAAGAAACTCCATCTTGCACTTTCAGTGAGGTTTGGACTATGTGGCTGGTAGCCATAGGCATAACATACCTACAGCTGAACTGGCTTCCCAGAGTGATAGACACCAGATTCCATACCAAGATTTCCCGTCGCCAAAAAGAATGCAATAATCCCCTATGCAGTCAATCACCTTTGTAATCTTTATGGTACCCATTGGTGTAGGCTACAATGTATAACCAGCTGACCCTTCTGATTATGATCATGGCTGTGACCTGATTGTATCTCCCTTTAACACTTTCCAGGCTAGGTTTAAGGAATTTGGGGATGTGGGCTTCAGCAGTACACTTAAGGTATATGAGGTTTTCACAAAAGTCGGTCAAGGTTCTTGGCTAAGAGGAGACTCTGCCTTGGGCCCGCTGGTGTAATAAACTGCACTCCACTATCTGCATCGTCCTTCTGGGTGTTTGTTTCCTGGAACGCGTGGCTACAACAATACACCCTGTGTACCCTGCACTGGCAGGCAGATTCTTATCCACTCCACCACATGTGAAGTTCCTTCATTAGCACTGCTTAAGTCAGAGTTTTGAGAGAGAAAGAAATTAATCAAATAATCACCTAATTGAGTCAAGACAACAGCATTCAGTTAACCTAAGGATAAGTACACAAGAAAACGCATTACCGTGCTTGTCGACAATTCACTCAATACCATACACTCAGGGAGGTATACAAAGTTAAGACTCACATGGTTAGAAACCTTATAAAAGTATCACATAAGGACCCTTTGTCCTTACTTCACGTCCCTAATTTTAAAAAGTCGGCTCAGAAGAGACCGGGAATGTGGCGCTATGTCCTTATTTCACTTCCCTGACTTAAAAAAGCCAGCTCACCTGAGGGCGGGAAGCCCGGCTCACCTAACCCGGAGTAAGTGGCGACAAGGCTCCCTGAAGCGCATGCGCGCCTGCACCCAGTCTGGCCAGCAACAGCCCTCACACGCACATTTCCGTCAGACAGTCGGCGAAGCCCGCGGCCGCGCCGACGTGGCGCCGCTTGGGCCTGCCCAATCCCCGGAGCCCTGGTGGTCACGTGCACACGGCGCGGCGCAGCCGGGCCCCGCCCACCGCCCGCGCCCTCCGGCGAGCCGGGGCCTCCCTCAGTCGCCTTGGCTCCCAGAATACCTGCGCGGGCCCGGTTGCGCCTGCGCAGTGTGGCCGGTGGGCCGGTCTGAGAGTGCGGCGGCCGCGGCGCGAGGGTGCCGGCGCGCTGGGAGCCTGAGGTGGGCTGTTGGCCGTCCTCCCTCAGTCGGCGGAAGTGAGCTCTGGCTCGCCTTCCGTGCGGCCCGGGACCTCTCGCGGCCCCTGAGCGCGCGGCGGCCGGCGACGCGAGGAGGGCTCCGGCGCGAGGCGGCCATGGACTCGGCGGCGCTGGAGCGGGACGCGGTGCAGTTCGCGCGGCTGGCGGTTCAGCGCGATCAGGAGGGCCGCTACGCGGAGGCCGTGTTTTACTACAAGGTGGGCCGGGGGCGGGGCCGGGTTCGGGGGGCGGGGCCGGAGGCGGGGCTGAGGCGCCATCCCGCCGGGGGCTGGGTCGCAGATCCCCCGGCTCGGCGCTCCTGAGGGCAGCGGTGGGGCCGGGCGCTCGGCTCCACAGACGTGCGCTCACCGCCGCAGACGGGCTGGAGGCACGCGGGAGAGCGCCGCGAGTCAGTGAAGAAGAAAGCATTGCGCGTCCTAGTGCTTGACTTCCACACGTCTTGATCTCCCCAGTGTCTGTGTACACATCCCTTTTAAAAACACAGACTGGAGTCCGATTGTCTATGATTTTTTTAAACCTGTCCTTTTGAACTTTTAAGAAAATTACGAATTTTTTAAAAGTTTCTTGATATGATCTTGTTATCAATAATAATATTAAGGGCTAGATGCATAGTATCCCATTGTGTGGGTGTGCCATCGTTTGTTGAGAAATTCTCCTGGACATTTTAACGTGCATTCTGTTGCTTCAGCATCATAGTATCCTTGTAGCTAATGCTTTACACGTTTCTGTGATATTTCTTCTGGATAAATTGCTAAGGCCAGAATTAGAGGCGCTCCCAGTTCACTGCCTGCTCCCCAATTCTGAGGATTTGCAGACGCACACCTCTCCAGCTCCAGTCCTGGCCCATCCCCACTCCGGTGGAAGGAGCTGTATCCTCTAGAGACAGCCACCTTTTCTTTTAGGAAGAATGTCAGACTTTGAAAATACAGTAGTAGTCATTTTTCTTCCATAAACCTATATGCTGCAATAATGTGTAATTTACTGTTCTCAGATTAATGTTTGATTGCCTTCATTTTATATAACCTGTATTTAGAGACTTCGGTTGTGTTTCAGAGTCATTCTTTTTGAACTTTCTTTTCTTTGCAATTTCATAATGGTGGTATTTCTTTAAAAGTAGCACTGTGTTTTATTAGTTTTGTGAAATAATGACAAATTTTCATAAGTGAACAGTGCCATATGAAATAGCTTTTTCTAAAGTGAAAGGAAATACTGTACAGCACTTCTTGTTTTGCTGTAGAATTGCATGCATGTTGTTATGAAGGATTTCTTTTGCTTCAGAGAATCAGAAAAGTGGTGTTTCTAGGAGCTGTTACGTAAACTGTTTCAGATATTTAGTGTTTTCTGTCTTCATGCTGATCTCTTTGGGATTCCTTGTTAATCACTTTCAAGTGTAAATGAAATGAGCAAAATAAAGTTGATACCAACAGTTACAAAAATTGGCTGCAATATTTACATATACAGTTGTATTTTCCTCCCTTGAAATATCTGAATTGCAAGATCTGAGGAAAACACATCTTTTCTACCCCCAGTTTCCATTTGGATCAAAGCTGTACTCTTCTTATTGATTTTGTAGGTTCAGAGAAACGATTCCTCCAGTAACTGGATTCAGAAAGGGATGGCTTCTTTGGATGCAAATAATGAGGCATGAGGTTCCTTGAAATGCAAGGGCTTAGACCACTGCAGGGAAGGTGGTGGTGTCTGAGGGGTCTCTGTGGTAGCTCTGACCGCCCTCCTGGAATGGTGATGGTGAGAACGGAGACTTTTCCTCACTAGCATGTCCTGACTGGCTGAGGAGGTCATGGAATAACTGGAAAATGAATCCGGGTGTTCTTAATTAAGTTTCTTGCATACAACTGAAATCTGCCCTAAAATGTCTCCCCCTTTGACAGTGTTTTCTTTGGAGAAAAAACTTTTCTTTCACAGAGAGACAATTAACCTTTATAATCTTTTGTTGATATTTATGAGTATTGTCTGTTCTAATGCTTTCAAGACTCAGATCACCTTTTCACAGTATGTAGTTTCATCTGACCTACTGCATTGAGAAAAAGGAAAACAACATAAATCACAGTTATTCTAAGAAAATGTTTAAAATCAACCCCTTCTATTTGACTTTGTAAATTTTCAACAGTCTGAGAAAATTGAGAGCATCGAGAACTGAAATAAGTAGTAAAAGACTATATTTTTCACTTAGCGTGTGAAAAAAATTTCTAGTTTCTTAAAGACATTCTTGTTTTATCATTCATAGAAACAGACCATGAGTTAGAAAGCAGTAAAGAAAATTCAAATTGTAATTCATCTGTTAGATTCCTTTGAATTCTTTCTTTTTATTTTTAGGAAGCTGCACAAGCTTTAATTTATGCTGAGATGGCAGGATCAAGCCTAGAACATATTCAAGAGAAAATAAATGAGTATCTGGAAAGAGTGCAGGCTTTACATTCAGCAGGTTGGTAAAGACTAACCATGTCACTATTTTTTTTTCTTCTTTCCTATCCCATCTTACTTTTCCCTCATGTTTCTCTTTCCTTTTTGTTTTCATCTTTGATTCTTGATCTTCACTTGTTTGTTGCTCATTCCTCTTTTGGTAATCACATCTTTGAAAATCGTAATATGAAAATAAGTGATAGATCTGTGAAGAGGAACCTCAGAGGTCATGTAAGGTGATATCCTAATTTCCCAGAAATGGACATGAATTATCTGCATTCAAACAGTGTATCATTGGCAGAATCGGGATTAAAATCCTGTTAAAATCTGCCTTTAAATATCTATCACATGCCCTCTCCTGCTATTAAAATTAAATGACTCTTTTCCCTTCAGTGTCTAAAGACTTCAGCAGCAGGTTCACAGTCTTTACCACATCAGTAGCCTCAATCTCAAGACCTCAGTTAAACTCTTATTTTAGAGAGTTTGCCAGCGCTATCTTGGGAAAGTGACATGTAAGCAGAGACCTGGGACAACCTATGTTTAATTTTGTAAACAGCATGGCAAATGCTGTGGCACAAGTTCCCAGGCTTTACATTCATAGTTCTGTTAGAAGTAGGTGGGTTCTTGGCAAAATCTGTTGTTTACATGATAGGAAAGAAAATGATCATCTGTTGATATTTTGTTTCGAGAATGTATTCATGTCATTGAGAACTCTTTTTTGACCTTTTTTTCCCCTGTGGCTATCTAATAAAGCTGCAAAATTAGAGAGGTCTTATTCAGCCTTCTCTGACAGACTTTGTGCTACTTTCCACCACTTACTGTGAACAGATAGGAGCAGTTACCAACCAGCTTATAGTTAAGATAAAGTAGATTTAATTGTTGGGTTTCTCGTTATGACAGTCCCCTTACAGACACAGTATTTCCTTTTAAGACAGTGCCCAGAAACTGCATGCACTGAAAAGTAAACTGCTTATGTGTCAAGCTCTCACTTGGTACAAGTTTATACTGATCCATATATTCAAAATACCATGGAATTCAGAGACACTTCATTTTCCTTGCTAAGTAAATGAAATTTTTAAATTTATAAATGTGATGTTTATATGATCCTCAGGCACAGAATGAGACAGCCCTAATCTCTTGAAGAATGAAAACTTGTCAGCAAAACAGAAAGCACCACACATGGTTCAGAGAGATGTTACTGAGGGTTATAGTTTTTTTAAAAAGATCAAGCACAATTTTGAGACAAAATGTAAAGCTTTTTAAAAAAACATTTATTGAGATATAATTCACACACCATAAAATTCAACTTTTTATAGTGTAGTTCGGTGGTCTTAAGTGTATTCCCAGAGTTGTACAACCATCACCACTATCTCACTGCAGAACATTTTCCTCACCCTAAAAGAAATCTCTTAGCCATTAGTAGTCACGCCCCATTCCTCCCATCCCCTTGGTGTCGCTGCTCAATTTGTCACTCATGTCCAACTCTGCAACCCTGCGGACTGCAGCATGCTGGGCTTCCCTGTCTTTCACTATCTCCTGGAGTTTTCAAATTCATGTTTACTGAGTCAGTGATGCTGTCTAACCATCTATCTCCCCCTAGGCCCTAGCAGCCACTAAACCTGCTCATCTTTAATCCTACTAATCTATTTTCTGTTTCCATGGATTTGCCAATTCTAGATATTTGTTGTAAATGGAGTCATCCAGTATGTGGCCTTTTGTGTCTGGCTTCTTTCATCTAGCATAATATTTTTCGCATTTATCCTTGTGGTAGCATGTATCAGTGTCTCCTTTCTTTTTACGGTGAATAATATTTCATTGTATTAATATGCCACATTTTATTTATCTAGTCATCACTTGGTGGATGTTGGCTTGCTTCCACCTTTTGTCTGTTGTGAGTAATGCTGTTTTTGTGTGGACATATGTTTTCAGTTCTCTTGAAACCCAGAAGTAGAATTCTACCCAAAAGTAGAATTGCTAGGTCATATGGTAGCTTTGCACATATCAGTGGCTCAGTGGTAAAGAATCCACCGGCGCTGCAGGAGACCCAGGTTTGATCGCTGGGTCAGGAAGCTCCCCTGGAAGAGGGCATGGCAACCCACTGCAGTATTCTTGCCTGGAGAATCCCATGGACAGAGGAGCCTGGCAGCTTACAGTCCATAAGGTCGCAAAGAGTTGTACATGTCTGAAGTGACTGAGTATGCATGCACACACATGGTAGCTTTATGTCTAATTTTGAGGATCTGCTAAACTGTTTTCCACAGTGGCCATACCATTTTACAGTTATATCAGCAATGTTCTATTTCCTTTGCATCCTTATCAACACTTGTTATTTTCTGTCTTATTTTAGCCACCTTTGTGGGGATAAAATGGCATCTGATTGTGGTTTTGATATCCATTTCCCTGATGGCAGATGATGATCTTTTCGTGTGCCAGTTGGCCATTTGAATATCTGCTTTGGAGAAATGACTGTACAGATTCTTTACCCATGATATATGTCAGGGTTCTCCAGAGAAACAGAACCGGTAGGGTGTACATAAGGAGATTTATTATGAGAAATTGGCTCATGCAGTTATGGAGGCTAAGATGTCCCACCGTCTGCCCTCTGCAAGTTGGAGACCCAGGAAAGCCAGTGGTGTGGGTCAGTCTAAGTCCAAAGACCTGAGAAGCAGGGGACCT